GAGGTAGGATTTAGAGCTTGGTCTATTTTATTTATTTCAGTGCTCATGTTTTTTATCCATTGCACCTCACTGTTGTTTTTAGGTGCTGAAAGGGAATATAAGAGAAGCCCTTCAGAGATTTGAGATCTTAATTTTCCCCTCTTTAAAAAATGTTTTTTATTTAATCCTCATTGTGATCTAATGGGTTTGAGGTTAAACAAGGCATTTAAGATATCATTTGGTTGTCAAATGTTTTTGACATACCCATTTTAAAGATGCAAGGTATATTAGGGAATGAAAAAGAAATGCCATGAGTACAAGTTACATATTTGTCTTCTTTTCTCCACAAAAACTTAAACTTTTTAGGTACGGGCAAAAAAGAAGAAAAGCAGTGAAGACAGAGAAAAAACAACAGCAAGTATCTCTTACGTTTTTACATGACAACAGTATAGCTGTTTTTATTTAATATAAATTGAGTCATGGGTAAAGCATGATTGCATTTACTAGGACCAAATAAATATTGTGGTGTTCAGCAGCTTCACTTAATGGGTTGGAGAAAATTAAGTTGGTTCAGGGAAAGGAAAGAAAACCCTCATGCCAAGCATGTTCTGTTTCCATTTTAGTATTTTGTTAGAAATGTAAGCTCAAACTTTTGACTTTCTGAAGGTGTAGTATGAAATACGATATTAAGGTATGGTGATTCCCTCTATCTGCAATAGAAGTTACTTCCAGATCAACCAACCCTGGTAATAACAGAAAAGGCCTCTCTAAGCACAAACTCCAGTGAGGAATAAGCTGGAATACGACAACATAAATGATTCAGTAATAAAGATTATTCTTGTGATCATTTCTAAAGCCAGCTCTGCTGTTACGCAGATTGAGAAGTAGGAAAGGAGAAAGGAGGAGGAGGAGAATAAGGGAAACAGAAGCAGTAATCGAATGAGAAGTCGACCCACCTAGAGGAAGTGAATACAGATATCAAAGAGTAATGTGGACCCTGTCAGCAAAGTAATCTGGGGCACTCAGTATACTAAGTGTGGACCTTGGCCTTTAAAGGCATTTTTTTAGGGAGAGGTGAAATAAAAATGAGAACAACATCATTTTTAGATTTGAGGGTAACTCCCATAATTTCCCTAGCTCTTAAGATGGGGGAAAGTTTAATAGATAAGGAAATGAGTGGGAAGCTTTGCTTTTACTACACTTCTATGTCTCTCCTCTTGCTTTTTATTTTCTTCTCCTGAAACAAATAGTCTATCATTTGATACCATCTTTCTAGTATCTGTTCCTAAAAGTTCCGCTTTCTCTTCTGTATCTGAAGCAGTCAGTCATGAAAATCTGAGTTCAGCAAAATTCTAATTCCCTCTATCCAATGACAATTTGACTGCTTTTACAAGGCTTCAGTGGCATTTTCCTCTAACAGTCAAGCATCTGTCTTAGTAAGCTAAATAAGACTTTTCAACTCATGTGCTGGGGGGTGGGAGTGGCCAGGGAGAGGTCAATGGGGGAAAAAGGAGACATATGTAATACTTGAATCAATAAAGAATTTTTAAAAAAAGACTTTTCAACTATCCATCAATATTTTGTACCAGTTAGTTAACTTAATTCAATTGCTCTCAGTCTAAGCCAGTGATGGCGAACCTTTTGAACTCGGCATGTCAGCATTTTGAAAAACCCTAACTTAACTCTGGTGCCGTGTCACATAGAGAAATTTTTTGATATTTGCAACCACAGTAAAACAAAGATTTATATTTTTGATATTTATTTTATATATTTAAATGCCATTTAACAAAGAAAAATCAACCAAAAAAATGAGTTCACATGTCACCTCTGACACGCGTGTCATAGGTTCGCCATCACTGGTCTAAGCAGTACATAATATCTGTTTCTATTTACTTAAAAATGGCAGATTTAATAGATATGTGCTTTTTGAAAACTATGATTTTGCAAAAAACCATTATTTTGCTGTGGTGTGGGGATTTCTTTGCAGTAACTACAATTACTTTACCTTTAGAAAGTAAATAAATGAAATATAGCAATTGGTACCATGTTATTTTCTATGGGAAATTTTGATTAAGTCTACATTAATGTGCTAATGATTTAAAAGTTTTTCCTTATCCTTTTTGAAATTGCCAAGCACTCTTCATCATGATATTGGTTATTGAGACTTTTCAAGAAATGTTTTGAGTAGCTTACTTGATTGTGTGGATTGTTGAAATAACTGTACATTAGCTCAGAAGTACCATGGTAAAGTTGTTTTTAATTTGCATATTTTCATGTAGAAATGTCTAACATGGAACTATCTCTACAGGAAAAGACAAAAAAGAAAAAGAAGCATAAGAAACACAGTAAGAAAAAGAAAAAGAAGGCTGCTAGTTCAAGTCCTGACTCACCGTGAAAGGCAAAATCAGGATTCCCTTATAAAGAAAGTGCAATGTCTGAGGAGATCTCAACTGTGAAAATAATGACATATTTACTAAAATGCATGACCTTTGTTGTTTCTAGAATTATTCCTGGATTGTTAGGTAGCCACTCACATGCCGCTGTGTGAAAGGGCCATAAGAGTTGCCTGCTCCTTGAACATCTGTCTTTGTTCTCTTCCATTGCTTAATAACTCTGGGAGATAATACACTGCAGTCGTACTAGTGGTTGATATTTGGGAATAAAATTAATATTTTTGACTAGAAGTATCTAATGATAAATCAACAGACATTGAGTCTGGATACATCATTAAGGTATAAACAGAAATGACCAGATGACTCTAGTTAATGTTTTTGAAGTAGGGATTACATTGATACTTTAAAATCCTTACTCTGTAGATAAGTGTATTTTAATTTTTTCCCCTTGTATACTTTTATTTACTTGGGGAAGGAGCTTTTAAGGGTGGGGGGTGGTTTGCTATTTCTTTAGCTAGCAGAATAGCGTGCCTTTTATCCTCACACATCCTATTTTTGCGGACACAGTAGCCATGCTTCATGAGGAGGTCAGAGCTGGGTATGGCAGTCTTGCGCTTTACTGAGCTTAGTAACATCCTTGGTCTGTCATATGCTGCTTTGAGTGAATCAGAGAAGCAGCCTTTTGCAGCACGAGAAAGCCCCAGAAGCTCTGGAATTTACCTCCACTTCAATAATACTGAATGATTTTTATTATTAGAATGTATTGTAACATTTGGATTAATTTTGACTACACTTTGGCTTTGGGAAGGAGTCATTTCCAATACACACTGGTACTTTTTGAACTTGATAGCTAAAGATTCTAAAATGCATGTTTTATACTGTTAAGTTTTAACCAGTCAGGAATATTTTATGTAACCAGTGATAGCTATTTTTTGTATGAATTTTGGTTAGGCTGTAAAGTTTAGCTTTTATTAACTTTTTATTCTTGCTATCTTTAATTCCTTACTGCATTTAATGGCATTCTTGCCAAAATATTAGCATGTGAAAAGCAGAGTTTAGATTTGGTTTGGTTGGTTTTGTTTGTAACAGCTTCATATTGAAGCTGAGACTTACCATATACAAGTTGAGTGGCAGGCCTGGTATGCTGTGTCTTGTTACATAAAGCTCTTGCCAGAATCTTAGTAAATATAATGTTTTAAAAGTTTGTCTTTGTATATTCATAAAAAATATGACAAGTTAAACTTGAGCGAGAATTACATTATTGCTCTTTCTGTGTCATTTTACTAAGATTTTGTGCCTCGTAACTCCTGCTGAATTGTTTACTAGTTATGTTAAAAGGAACTGATAAGTCATTTTCACTTTACATTTTGATATAATCGGGTAATATGAAATATAATTTGATGTATAATTTTGCCTGTGTGCTAATTACAGTGGTATATGCACAAAACATTTTGGCATGACAAGAGGCTGAATAAATAGCTATTTTACTTAAAAATAGCCTTGTTCTATCAGCTTCCTTTGAGTCACAAGTAAAGTTAAAATGATTAAGAAACACTACTAGGTGTTAAGTGGTAGGAGGATAAGACATATCTCCAAGTTTTTAGCTGAAAAAACAACATGTTCCTTGGTTAGTTTCCTTAAATTTTAGGCGTAAAGCTTCATACTGTTACCTAATAAAAGATATCTATATGCTCTTGAGTATACAGCAAGTTTGAGGGATGTTTTGTACCCAAAAGGAAGTTTCTCAGAATTGTTCATGAAAATGCTAAAAGGTACATTTATCGGGTTGTTTGATGATCAGTTTTACTATGAACTTAAAGGTGTACCTTTGCAGACTGGTCCAGTATATGATGATTTTGTTCCACTAGAGGCAACTGTCTGTTTTATTAGACTGGGGAAGAAAGTGATGTGGCAAAATTGTACTCTTTCCAGACTGTTGACTGGCTGGGAGATAACCTTTTGCATTGTTTCTCTTTGATAACCTTAACAGTCTCCTAATAAGGTATGGGGAGAAAATTTGACTGGTAATGTTATGGTGCAAGTCAACATCTCTTACTTCTTCCCTCCACCAACCACCCCTTTTCAACACAAGGCATGTTACTCAGATAATTATGCCAAGGTAACTGAGACAAAATTGATGAGTGTCTGGACAGAAAAATTGAATTTATACCAGTGCTACCTCTTTCTCGTTGTTTTAGAGTCATTTGGTTGCCCTTAATATATTTAGGTGTTTTAAAGACCACAAGAGTGTCCTGAATTTATTTTATCTAGAATATGGGCTCATATTCTATCAGTCAAGATGTGCTAAAGCCTATTGCCTAATTTTCTTTCCTTTTATAGAGAACAATGGCTAACTTCAAAGAAAAGAGAGGAGAGCAATTATTCGAACTTAAGTGACAGGTTTCAAACTTTTATTTTTAAATATATATATATATATTTTGTTGTTGTTTGTTTGGTTTTCTTAATATATTTTATTGATTTTTTACAGAGAGGAAGGGAGAGGGATAGAGAATTAGAAACATCGATGAGAGAGAAACATCGATCAGCTGCCTCCCACACACCCCCTACTGGGGATGTGCCTGCAACCAAGGTACATGCCCTTGACTGGAATCGAACCTGGGACCCTTGAGTCCACAGACTGACGCTCTATCCACTGAGCCAAACCAGTTAGGGCAGGTTTCAAACTTTTGAAATTGCCCATTTTGAACTTAAATCTATAGAAGAATTTTAAGAAAACTTTTTCCCCCCAGTTGTATTTGCCTTATTTTAAAATTTGTTTTTCTATTTTATTAAAATTTATTTTAGTACTTTTTTTTTTTTTTTTTTCTTACTGCAGTGAAGACCATCAGATACAAACTAGAAGATGCTTGGTCTCTAAGATTTGACAGTAGACAAGAGTTAAGACAGTTGTTTTTGTCTACCTTTGGCATCATGTTTTCCTACCAGTTATGTAAGTTGGAGGGGTAAAAGTGGGGTTTAATGTTTCTTTAGAAGCTCCCAGAGTAAAGCCTCTGTTTGGATATCATGAGAAGGTACTGGTTTTGAGTTTGCAAATGAGGTTATGATCTTTGAAGGAGCGTTTTATAGCCTGGGAATTTATTTCAACTTAAAAGTTTAAGGTCTTTGTAATCTTATTTAGTTTAATTGTTCAAATAGGAGAGAAACATTTTCAACTGTAGAATTTGTGCTGAGGAAATATAAATGGCAGTATAATAGCAAGTACCACTGTCAGTGGTGTTTAGACCCAAAGAAAAGATAGATGTTAAACTTGCTGTGATACTTCAGATCACAATAACATTAGTGAAATCATGGCATGAGTACTGAGAGGTAACAACCATTGTTGCATATTTTTCCAATTACTTGAGAACCTTCTGTATTTGGTTGCTGGAATGTTGCCGTCATCACATTCTGTGTTGGGTATGACATCGTGAACTGGAACCAATGGCAGTCCAGGACGCCCAGGCCTGGAGCTACGCTATCTGAGAAGTCTGCCGTGTGTTGAAGCCACATTCAACATGGACCCGAAGGCTCTGGGGAAACTGGTGGAATCCATCAGTAAAACCGTCAAGAGCTGTGAGTACTGACCAGACATCCAGCACTGCCCGAGCATCTTTATTCAAAAAGCAACATTGGTAGACATACTAGCTGGACATTAACAAGTGCTTTGTAAGCTCCAAATAGAGTTCCTCTGTTTCCTATATAATGTTTTGATCACTTGAAAAAAACAGACTGCAAGTGAACAACTATCCCTGCACTTACACTGAAAATAACCAGCTATCCTGAAATATATTTGTGTATGTGGAAAGAAGAGCTTGAGAATTTATGTGAGATCATAAGTGCTAAAGGATTATCTGCCAACCAAGGACTGATAAGTATAAAGGTTTACTTGGACCAGTTCCCCAAGTTCTCTGGCACAAAATCCATAGAAGCAGATGATTGCTCTGCTTAAGGGAGCTGGTAGAGATATGTAACAGGAAACTAGATGTTGCAGTAGCATGGTGCCTTGAACATGGCAAGTGCTTATGAAAACTAGTCTTAATAGGTTTGGAGGGGGGAACTCCTTGCCCTGACAGACCTTAAAAAGTAATCTTCATGAAAGTTTTTTCTACGGTATGACCACAAGCCTTTCTGATAATACTGAAAATCTGTTTTTAGAATTTGAGGAAGTTACTTTTATTTCAGCCACTTGGACAGCCTCATTATTGAGCACTTCCACTTTTTCTCATTAGGACAGGCACCACCTTTCTAAAACTCTCTTTGTGGATTTAATTCTGTTTTCTCTTATTCCGGATACATCTTAAATGATCTAAACTCCTCAAGCACTTGTAGGGCCCGTTTCCAACCCTGCTGTCCATACGTCCCTTAAGTCATATCTGGCAGATTGAGCCAGTGTTTAATGTAATGTCTTCTGTCATTTGCTGCTTTCCTAACAGAGCCTGAGTTTTATGACATTCAAAAGGAATTTTTTTATACTTAAAAATATATAATTCCTCTCCCATCCTAATGAAATTATGTTTAGCAATGTCTGTGATGAGTGTTAAATACCATAATTTGTTCTTTGAAAGCAATTCTTTGATCAGACCCATATCCCACAGTCTTCTGCAAAGAAGATATAATTGTTTGAAAAAAGGGAAGGGTTACTATTCTTTTTCGAAAGTTTTTGACACTGATTCACTGTAACCAGATCACTACTTTACACTCAGATTACTAACAGCTGGTGTGTGTTGAGCTCTCTGTTGGCAAGACACTGTGCTGAATGGTTTATGTTCATCATCTTTAACTCAGAACTAAGTCAATAAGGAGAGACCCACCCACCCACTTAAGGAAGTAATTGAAGGTACATGTATGCCCCTGAAGTGTGATGACAAGAATAGTACTTTATCTTGTATTCTTCCCCAAAGCACTTAACTTTACCACCCTCAACTCATTCCTTACTATAAACTAATAAAAAATCATTAGACAAAGTTAAATTAAGAAGATTTTATATATATATAAACACACACACACACACACACACACACACACTGATTTCAGAGAGGGAGAGAGAGACATCAATGATGAGAATCATCGATTGGCTGCCTCCTGCAGGCCCCCCAAAGGGGATTGAGCCCATACCCCCGACCCAGAATGGAACTGTGACCTGGTTCATAGGTCGATGCTCAGCCACTGAGCCACGCCAGCGGGGCAAGAAACATTCTTAATTCACAGTCATGAAAAGCAAGGAAAAACTGAAAACTCATAAGTTGGAGGAGACATGACAACCAAATGGATCTTGGAATTTAAAAAAGGACATTAGTGGAAAAACTGGTAAATCTGTAATTTAGTTGATAATATGCCAGAGTTACTGTATTATTTTTGCCAAATGTACCATGTAAGATGTCAACAGGGAGGAACAGTGAAGTATTTATAGGAACTCTATACTACCATTGCACCTCTCTTGTAAATCTAAAATTACGCTAAAAAACTTAACACAGGTCAGTCTCTGGCATCGCAACATGAGTCTCACTATCCTCAGTTTCTCAAGTATCACAATTGTTTTGATCACATATATAAGATCTTTAGATAAAATGAAATGTGAGCCACATCAATAAACTCAGAAAAAGTTACCCACTGAAGATTGTCTAAAATCCTTGATTGCTTTGTTGGATGACTCGTAATATTTGAAAACAGCTCCTCACTTTCTTCAGGGATCCATTTAATTCACAGTAGTGTTGGTGCTAACATTTCCACTCAGGTAGTAATTCTCCATCGGAACTGAACAGGACTGCTTTCAGGCAAGCATATTGGTATATTACTATGCACTCCATAGAGAGTATCCACATCTGCACTTCCTTTTTCTTTATATTCCAAAAAAGATGTCCTTCCAAATTTTTGTCCTCAGAGCAAGTTTTTGTCCCCTTTCTATTATGTAACCTTGAAAAGTCACATCGCCTCATAACTCATGTACTGTATTGGTTGACAGGAAACCAGCACAAAAGCCCCCCCTTAGTTTCAAGTGAGGGGGACAGACCCCATCTTTCTAAGGCTGGAGTGTCAAGTCACACTGAAAGAAGAGCATGTGGGGTAGGGTAGATTGTTCCAGTGGTCTCTGGGGAAATACAACCTGTCACATCTGGATTCACCACTCATAAGGTAGCTTTAAGAATCTGCCAAAGTGATCTTCCTTATGTGCAAATCTGATCCTGTTAACTTGCCTCAATTTTTCAGTAAGCTCCCCATTGCAGCTCTCAGAACAGGCCTCCACGCATTCAAGCATCCTCTTCTGGCAATGCTCACTCCTTTGGCAGGTCTATCAGGGGTGGGCCACAATGGGTTTTTAAACGACCGGAGGGCCGGAACAAAAGCATGGATGGAGTGTTTGTGTGAACTAATATAAATTCAAAGTAAACATCATTACATAAAAGGGTACGGTCTTTTTTTTTTTTTTAGTTTTATTCATTTCAAACCCACCGGATCCGGCCTGCGGGCCGTAGTTTGCCCACCGCTTTAGCTCATGACACCTTCTCCTCGGGACCCTTGTTAATTTCTTACCACTTCCCCCCAATTGATTATTCCTTCCTTTGGGTTACCCCCAACCACCATCAATCATAGTGTTTGTACTACCTTACTGCACTTTATCTCCACCAAAGTGTAACAACCTTGAGGCAGGCAGGAAGTATTCATTGCCTGGTTCACAGAAGACCTTTAAGTCATATTTTATACTAGCTACAGTGGGAAGCCTGAGGATCTAATTCAGTTAATAAAATACTATTGGGTACCTTTGTAATTGCTTATTCTTTAGATTTGTCAGTCATCCGAAGAGCCAAGTCATTCTGACCACAGTGGAAGCCCTATTATGGCAAACTGCATATTTGCTATGTGCTATCATTAATTTCAGTTGGGTAACCTGAAGTCATTTCAAAGACAGCATCTAACAATTTTTTTCTCCCCACCTTCCCCAGAAATAAACAAGAAAGGAGGGAGGGAAGACAATGAAGGGAACAAGAAAAATAGTAACCAGCTTTCCCTCCTCTTTCAGTTCTCTCAACCTTTGATTCATAGAATTAGACTTTTAAACACTTAAGGACTGTCAGAGATCATTTAGGGCAGATAATACCCAATTTTCGTAGGTGAGGACTCTGAGGCGTAAAGATGGTCTATAACTTGTCTATCTCTCAGCTATTTAGTCTCTCAGAAATGGAAGTAGAACCCAAATACTTAAATCTACTACCCCCAACCCACTAATCCCTTAGTTCTCAGTCCTGATGGTGCATTAGAATCACCTGTGCACTTCTTAAATCTACTCCTTAGGTCACTAAGTCTGGAGTGAGATCTAGGTACATAAGTATTAAAAAGTTTCAGTTTAAAGCCAGTCATGAAATCCTACTAGTTTTTGTGTGTGTGTATGTATGTATTTATGTATTCATTTGGCAGTATCTCAGGCTCCTTCCCCACTCTCTGACCTCGTTTCCATCTCCCTAGCCCCGTCACTCCAAACCTGGCTTCTGTGCTTCCAGTTTTCCTTTCAGTACAGCTTGCCACTTGTCTTTTCCTAAACCACTTAGCCCTGCAGAGGTTCTCAACCTCTGGGTCACAACCATTTCACAGGGGTCACCTAAGACCATCGGAAAACACATATATAATTACATATTGTTTTTGTGATTAATCACTATGCTTTAATTATGTTCAATTTGTAACAATGAAATTGGGGGTCACCACAACATGAGGAACTGTATTAAAGGGTCGTGGCATTAGGAAGGTTGAGAACCACTGCAACTGAACTCTTGTTTTGAAGCTAATTCCTGGGCCTTCTGTTAGCAATTCTGAGGTAGGTCTGGGGCAAGGCCTGGCAAGTTGCATGTGTAACAAGCAATGGAGAAGGGGTTGATTTTCATACAGATGGGCCAAAGATGACACCATGAGAGACACTGTTCCAGTAAAATAAATGTTAATCCTCTGACCAGGCATTCAAGGCCCCCCACCTTCTATCTTATTTTTCACTTCTTCCCAACTTGCTGGCTCCCAGGAAGACATATTCAACCTCAACCTCCATTCTACCTCTTTCCTTTATTCATATTGTTACCTCACCCTGGAATTCTCCACTACTTTACCACCCCCAACTCTTTCCTTCCTAAAAAAATACTATGCATCCTTCAAGGCCCAATTCAAAGTTCATTCCCATGAAAGTGGCCCAACTCCTCTTTCCAAGTGAGAACCATCTTAATTGTATAAGCTCTTGAGTAACAAGTCCATATCATACTTTTTATGGCATCTCGCATCAAGGGAAAAAATAGCTTTTAGTAAAATACTGTAAATTAGATTGGAGAACTCAATGATTAAGTCATATTTATATTTTCATTTTACAGTCAAGAAAAGTGAAGTCGAGAGCCTCATAATACTTTTTCACGGCTTGGTGGAAAAACCTGATGTGAGGCTTGATAACGCTAGACTAGATCGGAGCACATTTCGAATGATCCTGCACGGCTTGTTTGGAATGACTGATGATAAGCTAATGAATAGGGGTAAGAAGTCATAAGGGACTGAAATGAGCCAAGCTGAGGTGGCAAATATATATATATGGCATCTATATAAGTAGATTAATATATGACAAATATATTTAATTTTCATCAAAGACTTTGATTTTTTTAATGCCAAACTAGAAAGACAATTCTGGTAGTGCTGCCAATGCAAATCAGTAGTTGATTTTATTGTCAGGATGGTTTTTAATATAAATTTGCTCAAGATGTCTTATAACTGTACCACTTTGAGAGATAACTAGTAACGGGCTAAATAAGCTAGCAGTATTATTTTTCAAAGATAAGCATGTGACTTTTAATCATGATGTCTATTAATTCATATGCTGTAGACATGTAAATTTTTCCTCATAAAAATGAAAAATACTGCCCTAACTGGTTTGGCTCAGTGGATAGAGCGTCGACCTGCAGACTGAAGGGTCCCAGGTTTGATTCCGGTCAAGGGCATGTACCTTGGTTGCGGGCACATCCCCAGTAGGAGGTGTGCAGGAGGCAGCTGATCGATGTTTCTCTCTCAGCGATGTTTCTAACTCTCTATCCCTCTCCCTTCCTCTCTGTACAAAATCAATAAAATATATTTTTTTAAAAAAATGAAAAATACTCATTATACTGAAAAAAATAAGGTCATTTATTTAAAGTAGGAAGTTTTTTAATATGAGGCAGTCATTTTCACTAACTGATTTTTAGTGTTCAATTTGGTAAGTTTTGATCTATATATGTACACCCTTGAACTCATAACCATAATCAAAATAATTAACATTCATCATCCCCAAAAGAGTCAATACTATTTTGCTTTCTATATTAAGATTTCATTGGTAATTTAAAAATAGTATTATTTTAGTAATTTATCTTCAGGCATTGTACAAGCTCTTTAGAACAGAATTTTGCCACTTTTTTAGTATAAAAATTACTACATTGATTGGCTCCATCATTGTACATAGTAACTGTACAAAACAAGATCATCATTGATCATGGAGGAGAATGACTTTTCTTCCTATAGAAATCTGGGGAAAACATTTTCAGTAATTTTGACTTTTTCAAGAATGATTGTACCAAAACCCTCTTCTCCCCTCAGTTTGGGAGGAGATTTTTAAAAATCTATACATACCTATTCTTGAATTATAAAATAGCTGTGAATAATAATACACTTATATGTGCTTTTTTTCAGTATTTTTTGCATTTGACAAAGACAGTGATAACTGCATAAATGTAAATGAGTGGGTTAAAGGATTATCAGTGTTTCTTCGAGGGACTTTTGAAGAAAAGCTGAAGTGTAAGAATTCTATATGGCATTACTGGCTTAGTAATATATATGGTTAATTTTGTATTTAGTGAATGTTTAAATATTTTTAAAAAATATATAATTAGTGTTCTTTATAGCAACCTTGCAAAAATAGTTCATGATAGTTTTTAAAAAAATACAGGCCAGATGAAATGGGTGGGCTATTTCATAGGAGAGTCCCTAGTCCCAGGATCCCCAAACACTTCAGTCACTGGTTCTATAATGTTCAGATGTCACCAGGATGGGTCTTTGGCTTAAGGCCCAGGCTAATAACAGAAACTAAGGATTAGGACTATGCCAACTCTTATCAGCTAGTAAGGTGGAAATTTCTGAGGCTGCCTCTGAGCTCAGCAGGAAATAGGCTTTGATATGGGTAGTGCACAAGTCACATTGGGCCATTGCCTCTGTGTGTGTGTGTGTGTGTGTGTGTGTGTGTGTGTGTGTGTGTGTAAAACAAGGTAAAACGCACGTTAACCACCAGACATCAATACTGTAGTGTTAGTGTAGATGAGTGGAAAGGGGGAAAGCCTAGGACAATGAGAGCCGAAAGGGAGGAGGATTATAAAGAGAGCCTCTTACAGAAATTCCTAATGTGCTTAGGAATTCCAAGCACATTATCTCAGTTCACAATTTTGCCTAGAAATAACTGAGGCCTCACCTCACCTGTACCATTGGTGTGGTGTGTATTTCCTATGTTTTACACCTCTAGTTCCAAGATTTGGGGCGAGGAGCCCTGGAAAGATAATAGGAACAATTTTAAATAGTAGTTTTCAAAGAAACAGATTGCTTAAGAGAAGACAGCAGAGTACTGAGGAAGTAAGCAATTTTTTTTTTTATCCCTTCTTCCACTTGAATTTGGATTTGGAATGTTCAAAAAAAGATCCCTAAATTAAACACATTTTAAAGTGATAGCACATTTTTAAAGAAACACATTTTTAAAGAAAACCGCCAACTTTCTGACATTTTTGTTTCTAGTTTTGTGTTTTCTTCTTCAGTCTAATTTTTTACAGGATAACATTTAAATATAGTTGCCATTAAGCTTATTGCAACATTCCTATACAAAAGTCTCACCTAAAAGTGAAAAGCTAAGTTTCTTGGAAGTAAATTCTTGTGGTAATACTAATACGTGGTGAAAATGGTTGTGACATTGGAAGTAGCTGTATAGTATTGAATAGCATCACACTATCAAAAAATGTTTCCTCCTCTAACCCCACTTCCTAAAAATGTTTCATATACATTTCGAGATAGTTAATTTGGGGGAAGATACTACTTTTAGTAGGGTTGTGTTGCAAACTCATGTATGCAACAGATTGGAGAAACTTGACAAAAACACACAGCTAATCTAATACTCTGGAGTTTTATACATGGTTCTATTGCTTTTGTAAAACGCTTAACTGGGTTACAAACACCACAAGAGCTCTTGCACTGCTGTATTCCCAGGACCTGAGTAAGTCACTTGTGGATGAAGGAGTGGATTGTAGGAGTGCTTACTCTGTGAGGAGAGAGCAGTTTTTCTGAGTAGTGCAGACAGGCAGGCCCCAAAGAGATGACAGACTCACTGGCTAAATACACCGAAAAGTGTTGTTGGTGACATGGCAAAGTGTGTACTTAGTTTTTGTTCTCTATGTAAGACGAGAATCATAAAGCTGAGATTTTTACACACATATGTATACACGTATAAATGTATTGTATGATCAGAGATTTATGTATCCCCTTTATTTCAGCTTCATAATATTTTTAAACCCTCAATTTCAAAATCCAGAAGTTACAAGTCTTTCTTTACACGTTCCAAGGGGTATTTTAACTTGTGGAAAGAAATGTAATAAAAGGTGCTTTATTTTAAAAATCTCTTTACCATATAGGCCAATAATTGTAGGTTGTATAAATTGTTTTTATTATTATATAATGAAATAACTAAGGAGAAGATTAGTGACATTTTAACTGTCCTTATCCAAGTCTTTAAACATCTTATGCTTTGAAAAGTCTGTTTTGAAGTGTATTATTTGAATGGTGATGATGGTTACATTTCTCGAGAGGAAATATTTGACATGTTGAGGAACAGTCTACACAAGCAGTTATCTGAGGAAGAGACTGATGAAGGAATAAAAGAATTGGTAGAGATAACGCTGAAGAAAATGGTAAGAATGAAATACTGTAATTCATTATAACCAAGCAAGTGGATATTGGATAAAGCTAAGATGAAGAAATTATTTCCCTCCATAATAAATGCAGCCTTTATGAGGGCAGGAGTTTTTGTTTGTTTTCTGCTCTGACCATTGCCTGGAATAGTGTCTGGCTGATAGTGGGTGCTCAGAAAATATTTGTGGAATTGCTGGGTGATTAAATGAATCACTATTCCAAATTAATGTTAATTTTCTCATTTTGAAATATTTTAATATTAGTAAAACCTCACTAATTGTGGGAAAGGCAGCGGGTTTAATGTGTTTTAAATTGGATGCTATTCTAATCTGTCTTCATGACCTTAGCCTTTCAATTCTTCCAAATATTCAATATAATAGAATAACATAATAATAAAAGGTTTTTTAAATAGAGTGCTTGCTATATGCCAGGCCCTTCACAGAACTTTAATATATGAATTCATTTTATCCTCAAAACAACCCTGTGAAGTAGAAATTATCTCTATTTGGCAGATGAGAAAACTGAAGTACAGATGGGTTTACTCAAGGTCACACTAGAAAATTCGGTGCAGAATTCAATGAAACCAATAATATCCATTTCTAATGGACATAGTAATTTCTCTCCTTTTCTTACTGTGACCCTCTACCGGATACCGGTGAATATTTGTGGCCCTAAGATTTGTGGGCTTGGCTAACCCATGACTCTGGAGTTTAAGAAAGAAACATGATGTGGACTGCCGAGTCTCAGACTCAGCTAACACAGGTCCAGAGTATCCCCTTCCACTGGAAGTGCTCACTCGACCCTGCCAGGGCTCAGGGTAGACTTCTTGAGAGACAGTATGTTCCCTCATACCAAACCCACCCTCTTCTTTTTTGAAAGGAAATGTTACGGAGTGAACCTTTTCTGACAATTATTCAAACCTTTCTCTAGATTAGACTCTCAGTAGCCCTGATTTAGTTATACCCTGATGTGTGGAAAAAAAACACACACCAAAGACCCATCAGATCAAATCCAAAATCACTGAAGCAGTTAAAGGCATACATAATCCACACACATGCTACCCCATGATTTACTTAGTCACCCATAGTCCCTGTCACCAATGCTCCACTTGAGGCAGGTCCCTCTTCTCCTGACTTACTGTCATAATTCAGGTTGGGCCATTCTGCACTTCCTCCACACACTTCCCCACCTCTCTAGATCCCAACCATCCCTAAAGGCCTAGCGGTGGTCTGCATGACTCTAGTCCATCTTGGGCTGTGAGTGCTCTAACTCCCAGTGCCTCGGTCCTTATCTGAGCAACTCCACTTTTATCCTTTTTACATGATGAGCTCCCAAGTAAGAGATCCTTTCAGGAACAAGTTCTAGTACTAAAAATTAAGCTTGAGAATTTTTGCCCTTGGTCCTTATTTTATCACAAAAATAGCTGTACAATATGGGCTTCCTCTCTAGGATTATGACAACGATGGCAAGATCTCTTTTGCCGACTTTGAAAAAGCAGTGAAAGAAGAGAGACTTTTGTTGGAGGTGTTTGGACAATGTTTACCAGAAGCAAAGGTACAGTGCCAACAGCCCCAAAAGGTTGAGGGGACATTTTAACGGATCTGAAAATAACACTGGTTAGACACTCACCTCTTTAGGGCTTCAGCTCACTGTTAAGTCTAGGCAACCATGAAGGGCTCAGCCCATCCTAGTGCTTTGGGAACCAAGACAGTAGTGACTGTTTAAGTAATTCTATTCAACAGACTTTTCTTTTGGGCTTGTAACTTCAACTGTATACAAGTCCTGATTTCTTGTATGTTAGTATTTCCCCAAAGAAAACCAAGGTATATTGGGCTTACTTAAGGGATAGAACAGTGAATAAAGAGTGGGTTCAGCAAGAACAGCTAGGAGAAAACTTGATGTCTTTCAACCCAAATGTTGTCAATGAGAATAAATTAAATTTTAAAAAATTTGAACACATACATAGTATTTTGTGGTCATAAGGTTTATTTTCATGTTTGGATTTGACGAAAGTTTTCTGAGCTAGAATAGCCAGCCTAATAATTTATTTGACTCATTAACATTTTAATTCTGCCTCTGATCAACTCTGCTTTGCAAACATGACATAAGAAGACACTTCTTTTTTGAAGAAACTTTTTATTCTGTGCTAATTTAGATGATTTTGTGAATGAACTTGCATAATAAGCTATCCTTAGCCATCTTAGCTCATCTTTCTTAATTTGTCCCAATGTAGTTTATTCCTTTTTAAAAAAATCCTCACCTATGGATATGTTTAGTGATTGTAGAGGGAGGGACGGAGGGAGAGAGAGAAGAGAAAGAAACATTGATCTGGGGATCAAACCCAAAACCTAGGTATGTGCCCTGACCAGGAATCGAACCTACAACCTTTTAGGTCTACAGGACAATACTCCAACCAACTGAGCCACCTGACCAGGGATATTCCCACATCTTGTCTGGAAATACGTGGTAAAATGCAATATGTGAAAGGCAGACTTCTCGTTTTAAGGGACTGATGGGTGAAACAGTGCAGAATTATGGACTGGGTTGGAGTAACTACTTATGTCCGATGGATACCAACAGTTCTTGAGTTGTTCCCAGAGACTTCATCTGTAGCCGTTATCTAGAGCCTTGCTACTCAGTGTAGTCTGTGCACCAGCTCAATGGTATCACCTAGGGACTTATGAGAAATGCAGAATCTCAGACCCCACCCCAAACCAACTGAATCAGAATCTTTTTTTGGTGCCTGACACAAGAAAGGTTTCTTTCTCTCATGATCAAACAGTGTATTGTTGGCGGGGATGGGGAGGAGCGCTGGCCTCCACACACAGAACAGATCAGGAATCCACTCAAGAACAAAGAACCCACTGAGCAGCTCCTCCCTTTAGGACTGTCAGACTGTGTGTGTGTGTGTGTGTGTGTGTTAAAATACACCTAACATAAACTTTACCATCCAAATCAATTTTAAGTATTCAGGTTCAATAAAGTACATTCACACTGTTGTACAAGCAACCTCCAGAACTCTTCATCTTGCAAAACTGAAACTCTGTGCTCATTAAACAACTCCCCATTCCTGCCCCCACCAGCTCCTGATCACCACCATCAGAATTACAATAAGACTCTGAAGTGGAGGTTCATAACACCTTCAAGTCTGAGAAGGCTGTCCTAGACAGCAATGTATTCTTCCTAATTCTATGGTCAGGTCTCTAATACATCTTTTACCTGAATTCAGCAAAAAATGTATCTAATTGCCTTACGAGGAACTAGGGCCAACCCCCTTGCCTGCAGCTTCTATTAAGACTATCTAGCCCTAGCCAGTTCGGTTCAGTGGATAGAGCATCAGCTTGCAGACTCAAGGGTCTCAGGTTTGATTCTGGTCAAGGGCACATGTCTTCAGGTTGTGAGCTCGATCCCCAGTAGGGGGCATGCAGGAGGCAGCCAATCAATGATTCTCATCATCGATGTTTCTCCCACTCTAAAATCAATAAAAATATTTTTTTTTAAAAGACCATCTACCACCTAGTGCCCTCCTAACAAGTTTGGATCAGTAAGTCATAATTGAAGATGAACCTTCTTAACTGATATGTTCAAATTCAATTAGGCCAGAGGCCCTTAAGGATAGGGAGGAACGAAAAAGAGATGGCATTTGGTATGGGCCTTCTCCAGTTATTTTTATCAGTAAAAATATGGAAATAGCTTGTACACAATTGGATTTCCATTATGTAGTCTACTAACAGGAAAAAAAAGTGAGTGTGCTATAAAAGTAGTGGTAGAAGTCACTCATTTACAAATTCTAATTAGTTTATGCTATAGATCAAATAAATTCTTCTGATAAGTTAACTAACGCATGTAAGCTTCTAATTTCAGCTTTGTTCTAATAGTTTATTAACTTTTTTACTTTACAGATTTGTCTTGACTTTGAAGCCCTGGCATTCAAACACATCCTGAATTCTGTCTAGTTTTTTAATGTGAATCACTCAATACTTGCATTAAAATAAAAAACAGATTCTGGTTGCCTATCTTTATTTCCTTCAATTAATTCACATATAGTTACTGCAATGTGAGAGGTAATATTATAAGAACAGTTTCTATAATAGTAAGTTTGGATCAAAATAACATCAATAGGTAATAAGCAGCAAATTTATTTAAGTTAGTCAACAACCTTGGATCTTGTAGCATCAAGTCAGGCATTCCCAACCCTCTTTTCCCTTGCTTCCTCAACCATAGAAGTTGGAAACCTAAAGCATTCACTATTCCAGACTCCTCAGGAATAGTCATGGGCCCAGTTCTAGCCAGTAAGATGTAACTAAAGTCACTGGATGGCGTTTCTAGGAAAGTTTTTATTAAGGGAAACAGTTGGCTGGCAAGTATTTTGTCCACAATAAACTAATTTTAAAAGGTGAAACTAAATTAAACAAGTAGCTTGAAAGAAATTACAAAGAGGAGTGCATTAAAAAAAATAGCAGCAGTAAAATCTCTTCAAGAATTAAAACGACAGGCTAAAAATAAATACTCTTAGAAAATATTAATTTGCTACTAGTAATCTTATATTCTTCTTCTTTGTTTTAATGGATGACTTGTATGAACATCTTCCAGCTTGTCTTCTGGAGGCTTTGGCACAGTTGTAATCACCTAGTTTTAGAAAAGAGAACCAGAAAAGCTTATTTTTTATAGTAAAAGAATAAATAAACTATCAGAAGACATAATATATTCAGTAGTTTAATCCTTACTATCACGTTTGAAGCAGAGCTAAGCCAAGTTCAAGGTACAGCCTACAATCTAGGCCAGCGGTGGGCAAACTTTTTGACTCGAGGGCCACAATGGGTTCTTAAACTGGACCGGAGGGCCGGAACAAAAGCATGGATGGAGTGTTTGTGTGAACTAATATAAATTCAAAGTAAACATCATTACATAAAAGGGTACGGTCTTTTTTTTTTTTAGTTTTATTCATTTCAAACGGGCCGGATCCGGCCTGCGGGCCGTAGTTTGCCCACGGCTGATCTAGGCACAGAGCAGTTTTCTGTCCAAACACTGTTGGGAGTAAAAAAATTTTTTAATTTAAATTCTTTATTATTTAAAGTATTACACGAGTCTCCTTTTTCCCCCTTTGACCTCTCCCTGGCTGCTCCCACCCCTCAGCACATGCCCTCGCCCTCCTACTGTCTATGTCCATTGGTTATGCTCATATGCATGCATAAAAGTCCTTTGGTTAATCTCTTACCCAATCACCCTCCACCTTCATTTTTAAAGCCATTTAACAAGAAGAAATTTTTGAGGGAGAGAAGTAAACAGGCTCTACTAACATTCCTTTGTAGATCTGAAGTCCCTTGTTATTTTATGGGTATAGATAGACATGGAGGTTTGGGGGAGGGGGGGTTGTGGTGAAAAATTTAAAGAAATAATCAGAAAATGTTATAATCCTCAATTTTTTAGGGAAAATGAAATCAAATGCATCATGAAAAAAGGAGACAATAAGTTACAGCAGAATAAGACAGTCTTCATTTAAACTGGGAAATTATTTGAAACCATAGTAAATTATACTTAGTATTTCTCCTCCTTATTGTTCTACTGTTTCTATACCTAGGATTCAGACCTAACATATTTTTCTTGAAAATACAGTCAGCTCTGGCTGAGACGGCTCTATGTCTGTATCCATGCCTTAGTTCAGCTGTATGTGAAGAAAGGAAGGGTTGCCAACACAAACTAAAAAATTTAAGAGGCTTAAGCATAAAAACTGTGTCCATAGATTTTTATTACTATAAAACACCCCCTATCCTTAATCAGATAATAATTTCCAGGTAAAAAAATGTACATAAAATAAGCTACCTTGACCCTCCTTAATCACATTATAAAACATAGTATTGTTTCTTTTGTTAAAGATGTTTTTTATTGATTTTTAGAGAGAGGCAAGGAAAGGGAGGGGGAGAGAGAAAAACACTGAGTTTCGGTCGGCTACCTCCTGCATGCCACTCCTGCTGGAGATCAAGCCCCCAACCCAGGCATGTACCCTGACCGGGAATCGAACCAGCAACCTTTCAGTGCACAGGATGACACCCAACCGAGCCACACCAGCCGGGCTAGTATTCTGTTTCTTGTTTAAGGCAAGGATTAATGGTATCAAAGCAAATGGTATTTGTTAGTAAAATTCAGTAAATTCAGTAAACACATCAAAAACTAAAAATGAAAAATAGTAAATAATACTATAGTTCTCATAAATAATTCTCCATTTAGGGTTAGTCCTATAACAAAATCGTCTCTTAGAAGACTTCTTTAAATGATCTTACCTCTTTAAGTTTATTCCGAATTAAATTCGCTGTTGTATTCAAGGAGTCATCATGCATATCCACTTTGGGTATGTCTGGTAACAGAGGCCCAATCAGCACCTCATTACTGCTAGTGCTTGTTTCAAGAAAAGGTCCGAGTTTACGATCATCTCTTCTTCTCTTCCGCTCCTGCAGTTGTGTCGTCCTAGGCATAAATCTGTCAACGGCCTCTGAAGGAGTAAAAGCCTTCTGTGCACCAGGGCAGGCC